AGGCCAGCAGGAGGAGCTAGGGGCCCGAGGAGGGGCGGCCCAGCAGGCCCCCGTGGCCCACGCCACCAGACCCTGTGAAGGCGGCAGGCAGGGCAGCCAGGTGCCGAGGTTCCTCAGGCAGGTGGGGTGGTGGCGGCGGGGTGTGGGGACAGTGCGAGGGACGACAACTTCCTGACGCTCTGCTGTTAGCCTGGGGAGACCCCGGCTCCTTACTCTGCCATCTGGGGGGCAGAGGGGTGTGGAGGGGAGTGGGTGGCACTGTGCTGTGGGCCAGGGTGACGGAGAAGTCACCAGTGACCTGTGGCTGCTTTCCACTTTCTCCTCCACCCTCCCCTTCCGCTCTCTGCCTCCCTCCCTCCTTCCCCTTCCCTCTCTCCCTCTCCCCTCCTTTTACCCTCCCCACCACACCCCCCTTCCTTCCTTGCCCCCGACCCCAGGTCCCCTCAAGGCAGCAGAAACACCCTGCACACTAAGCCTTGACCTAGCGCCCAGCTGGCTCTGCCCATGGCTTGGCCTGCTCCCCGGAACCCTGCACAGCGCCGGGCCTGAAACCTTGAGCCGCAGAGGCCGCGCCAGAAGACCACTGCCCCCAGGGATTTATAGCATGCCGGCTGCACCGGGCGAGTCTTAATCAGGCAAGCGTGGGAGCGTGCTGGAGCAGACGAGGAAAGCTCGAGGTTGGGCACAGGCACAGATAACCTAACCGCGCCAGGGCAAGACCAGCCACTATTCAACCCTGACACGTCACCCCTGCTTCAGTGTGGGTTCCCAGCTGCACTGGGGGGCAGCGAGAGCCTCGCATCCCAGGTTGGCTACTGCTGGCGGCGGCAGGTCCCCACCAGGAGCCTCTGGCGCTGCCTGCTTCCCCACGCAGCGAGCGTACGGTGGCAGGACACGGGGGTGAGCTGGCAGGTGGGCCTGGGAGGGAAGTTCTGCATTCAGTGAGTCGTGGCTCAGACTGAGTGCAGACTTGCAGAGAGCGTCCCAGGGGGGTGGACCTTGGTCTTGTCTCAACCGAGCCCCGGGCTTCTCACCTCCATCTCCCCAGGTGTCTGTGTGCGGCCACGTCCCTCTGCCGCCGCCTCGCCGCGCCTCACCCAGGCGCTGGGACCTCGGAGGACACCCTCCCCCGCCGCGCCACAGGCAGGATGGGGGACGTGGCCAACAGTTCCATCGAGTTCCACCCCAAACCCCAGCAGCAGCGGGAGGCCCCCCATGCAGGGGGCTTTGGGTGCACACTGGCTGAGCTGCGCTCCCTCATGGAGCTCCGAGGGGCCGAGGCGCTGCAGAAAGTCCAGGAAACCTACGGGGATGTGGGCGGGCTCTGCAGGAGGCTGAAGACCTCACCCACGGAGGGTAAGTCTGCCAGCAGAGCCCTGGCACGGGCGGCGGCGGCGGCGTGTGCACCGGGGATGTAGGGCCCTGCCCCGCCCCTCACTCCTCCCTGCAGACGTTCTCTAGCCCCGGGGGCAGGCCCCGTCAAGGGCTGGGTGGGCTTGCAGCAGCTTCCCAGAGGCACTCCTGACCATGACCATGACCGTGATCGTGCCTGTGCGCTCCCATGTCCCCCTGAGTGGGACATGCTCTGTATGGGGCAAGCTGACCCCCTGCACCTGTGTGTCCGTAATCAGCAGTTCCTGCTTGCAGCTCTTCTTTGGATTAAATAGAAATGGAACGACAGAGAAGAGAAAGGGAGAAGCCGGCACCGAATCGCACATATGCTGGCGGGATGGGCCCCAAACTGAAACCCCAGCAGCTCTTCCAAGAGACGAGCGGGGCAGCCCCTGACCGAGTGCCCCCGGTTCCCCACATGCTCGGCCCTCTGTGCAGTTAAGGGGGGCAGGAAGAGGAGGGAAGGCGTAGGGTTCGGTCCTCTGGGGAGGGGCTTGCGGCGGGGGCCAGGTAGAGTGCTGAGTGGAGGTGGCACCAGCGCAGGCCGTCCTGAAGAGGTCCAAATCTGAGACGGTATATCTCTGAGATCTGCTGCAGGGAGCCTCTAGGGAGCCTGGGGTGTGTCCTCTAGAAGGTTCTAGGGGTGGAGGCCTGATTGCCACCTTGGTCCCCCCCTCTGCCCTGTGGCCCTTTTCCCCTGCTCCAGAGCAGACGTCTGCCCTGCCCTGCACCAGCCTTCCCCAGTCCTGCCCACTGGGTCTGCTGGGAGGCCGGGACCCCGGGAGCCAGGCTTGGCCCCAGCTTCCAGAGGCCGGAGCATTTCTGGCCCAGCTGCCGCTCCCCCGGCAGGGCTGCTGGTGCCAGGGCTGCTGCTGGCCAGTGCCGGCCGATCGCATCAGCTCCTGTCTCGGCTGTCACAGCTCTGTCCACCCAGGGCCCTGGCCGCCACCCTTGTCTCCTGCTCTCTGGCTCCGTCTGTGTGCAGGTGACACCTGGGCTGGAACGGGGAGTGGAGATGCCTCCTGCCCCCGCCCCCCTGCAGAGGAGGTGGGCCTGAGGCTGGGTGAGGGGCGCCCGCATGGCCAGGTCAGGAGCTCTGAGGGGCCGCCTGGGTCTCTCCTGCTTTGTGCTCTAAGGGGACCCAGCCTGGCGTGGGTGTGCGATCAGGGCAGGCAGATGGCTTGGTTCAGGCGCCCATCGCCTCCCCCCAGCCCCCGGACCTGGGGCCGGGCGGGGGAGGCCGGGGTAGAGGGCCATTTAGCCACAAGGGCTCTGGCCTCTCCCAGATAAAAGGAAGCAGATGGGCTTCAGCTGGCAGCTCTTTCCTCTGCCTGTCAGGCCTTGTTAAATATTTAAAATGTCAAGGCCCCTGGGAACGTGCCCGATTCTGCCACAGAGGCTCTGGCGCTCGCCCAGTGCCGGTGGAGGGGCCGGCGTAAAGAAGGGCGGGTGCCCAGGTGGGTGGCCCCAACAGAGGGACCCCAGCCTGGCTTGGTCTGCATCCAGAAGAACGAGCGGTTCGAGGACCACCCTCCCATCTCCGACCCTGGGAGCCCTCAAGGCCCCAGAGTTCTCACCTGGACGTTCCCGCTCCTGCTTCAGACACAGTGACCTGAGCTGGGGGAGGGGCGACTTAGCTGAGCCCAGGCCCCCCGCACACCCCCTGGCAAGGCGGGCAGACTCTGGGGTGCCGGCAGACTGGTGCTTTGGGGAGGGCGAGGAGACCAGGGCGGTGCGCGCTCTACTGGAGGAGGGCACTTGCTGTCCTCCGGGCAGCAAGCACATCAGTGGGCTCTGCCTTTTCAGCTATCCAGGAGGATTCCAGAAGCCAGGGAGCCTGGGTCTTAGGCCGAGCTGGGGAGACCTGGGCCCCGGCCCTTCCCCCGTTTGGCCTCCACTGGCACTCATGGAAAGGAGAGGGCAGATTAGCCGAGAGCTGCCCCATGTGGTCCTAATCCAATTCTGATGGCATCTGGCCTCTGCTCTGGGCAGGGTGCCCACCTGAGTCCATGCCAACTGCCGGCCACTGCCCCTGCACCCAGGACCTGGGCCACCTCAGGGGCCCTGCTGGACCAGTGCGTGCTCAGAACCAGAGGGGCTGCAGCTGCCTTCGGTCACCCCAGAAGGCACTTCGGCAGCAGGAGCTCTCCGGACCCCTGAACCCACAGGAAGGCCAAGGCCTCGGGCTGGTCGAGAGCAAGGCACAGAGAAGCTCTGCTGCCGCACCAAGGGCAAACCAAGGCCAAGGGACAGGCTGAGGGAAGGAGGGAGGGAGGGAGCTCCTGGGGAAGGGGCCCTGAGGGCCCAGCTTCCTGCGGGGACCAGCTGGGCATAGGGGGCAGGGCAGGCAAGATGCAGACTCCTGAGGCGTGACGAGGACCCATGGGCTCTCTAGAGGGTGCGGGGGCCTCTACCGTTCTCGGGGCCTCCAGATCAGTGCCCTTTCCCAGGGCGGGGGTAGTGGAGACCCTGAGTGTCTGGGAGATTCAGGGTTCGAGGGCCTTCCTAGTAATAACCCCACTTTTCACATCTCCTGTAGGTGAAGGGAGTGGGACATGGGCCCTGAGCTGGGTCCCCAGCCCTTAGGAGCTGAGGTCCTGAGCTTCTCCCAGACGCCCAACTGGGAGGCCACAGCCTCCAGAAACTTGAGCCGTGGCCGGGCCCAGGCACAGTGAGGCAGGGGAAGGGCAGAGACAGCTGTGGCTCCTGCTGGGTGGGGCGGACAGTGTGCGGTCATGGCCTAGCTCAGGAGACGTGCCAAGGCGGTGCGTCTGGGGGCTTTTGCTCTTGTCAGTCCTTCCACCCCGAGGGGCCCCCCTCCCCCCTCCCCCTCCCT